TACATCGTGCTATCCGACTCTCATATCCACTTTCATTTTATTTCCAACTTCTGCAACTCAAAGCAACACTGTTTGCAGTTTGAATCGTTTCTGATAAAATTTTTCCAGGAAATTGCAGGGCTTTGTTGGACTCGAAGAAAAGTTCATCGCAATTATTTCATATTTTTCCAACCAGAAGTCAGATGCATTCATGTAAATTAAGTCATCGGTCAAAGATAATTACCATCTTTCGTTATACTAATGCACATGAACAACTATGCAGAAGTTTTCCAGAACATCAGAATATAATAGATCAACAGTTTGTTGCTTCACAAAAAAGTCACTGGGAATTGTATCAGCGAAGCGAAATAGGATATAAAAGAGTGATAATCTTTTTTTGTATAATTCTTTTGAAAAATTAATTCACATGCATTTCCATATCTTTTTAAAAAAATACAATCTCGTTAGAGGATTACAAAAGGATTTCTTCCTACACGATAACGAGTATGTGAAGTTATATTGCAGGTTCTTTTCGTTTGCTCAGTGTTTTTAAGCCATGTTACGGATGGAGTACTGCTATTATAATTCTTTTAACGAATTGTGTAGCAAGTAACATTTTAAGTATCCTTCAAATAAATAATTGTTATTGCGGAGCATGATTTCAAACTTTTCTCATGAAATTAATGTCTTTCATAATGTCAAATTCTGAACAAAATTATAGCTGTTATTGATTTTAAAATTACCTTTAGTTTATTTGATTCCTTATATGGAAAATAAACAGCTGGAAATAATATAATAAGTTAAATTGAAATTACATGATGCTGGGTGCTTCATTCAACTATCAAACATACGCGAAATAATATGCCAGCCATATTAGAAACATGACGCGAAATAATACATTCACTGAAATCATGAAAAGAGAAACAATTTTAGAATCATCTCTTTCCTGCAACTTCTGAAACACACTAGTAGGTTTTAGCATATGTATCACATTGCGTGATCAGTGGTCAAGTAAGAATTTTGAAACCGAAAATTTTGAGAACAGCCGCCGACCACGAATCGGCGGCAACGGAAAATTTGCAAATTGAAAATTTCCATGTATGTACTATCGCAGAAGCGCAGCAAACGGGCAGCTGCGGACCGGAACAAATTAGCTGAGCTTTTGTATTTAACTAGCCGTATCAAAGCGTTAAACGCTGTATCTCGCCGGATTTGTAAACAGTACAAACGGATCGCATCTGAAGATAATTTCTGTTGATCCAGAGATAGGTACCGGGCACCTATAGTTCAACCGGTAGTCGTCAATCATTGCCAGACTTTCGATAGAAGGGGGCTATTCGTAATGGAAATGCTCCGACAGATGAGCAGATCTTCTGTTAAACCATTGACTGACTATTATTTCACAAGCCCTTTCTTTTTCTTCGGCCTGAATGTACAGAGTGTTTCATAATGTGTGACCAGAGCCTCAGGGACGACGTTAGAAGGAAATTTATGCGCTTTCAAATGTTAAAGAGTAACCAAGAAAATTGTTCAAATGCCTTTTCATTTCACTCGTCAATGAGGACTAAATTTGTAAACATGTTTCTAAATATTGAACAATGAGAGTTGCAAAAATATCTATTAATCGAATTTCCTCAACAGCGATCAAGATTTTTATTCAAAGTCTCTTGAAATATATCAATATATTTTTACAAACTGTTATAACTGCCTTTTTATTATTGTCAAACACTTCTTTGCCTATATTAAAAATAAACGTTTGCAAGTGGGAGGTACTGAAATTGTCAATAACGACAGTAATAATGATCATAATAATAATAATCAACACGAATTGCGCTGAATTGAATTTCTTGAATAATAACAACAATTTAATTATAACACTTGTAATAACGATTATTTAATTATAACAGTTATAATAACAATTACACCAGCAACAATAACACGGATTTTTAATTGGAGTTATCAGAAACAACCATTCGTCGATGGATTCTGGGTTATCTCAATGACTCTTCGCCGATTCACGGTTCAATAAAACGAGTCACGATCAGACGAGCTGCGGATTCCAGCTGAACATAATAGCTGCGCCGCGGCATTGAGAGTTATGAATGAAATGTAGTGCAACGACATTCTGCTCAAGAGCCAAGATCAATGGAACACTCGCACACAACTGTTCCCCATCCGTGATACACACCGACTATTATATTATGTCAGCGGAATCATCATTCGCTTCGTTCCGCGCGTTCATCATCCAACGCATTTCGATCGTAGGAATTTGTGCTATTAACACACCCGGAATGTTCGTGTAATAAATTTTACCGAAATACTACAATCCACCAACTTGTATTTTAATTTGCGTCTTTGTTGTCACATCTGGTTGTCAAATATTAGGGACAGTGTACGTACAGATTTTAGAATATTCGATTTATGGTCGTCAAGTGAATTATTCTGTTTACCAGTATTTTTATTTATATGCAACGAAAAGATTCTGATAACTGATTCAGTTATGTAATACAGGGAAACAATAGTTTCATTATTTTATTTGTCCTTTGGAGGTTTATTTCAATAATTCTACTTGCTTCCCCTTTTTCTTATTTCTAGAAATTTTTTAATGTCATCTGAGTTACGTTACTCGAACGGGGATCAATCAGAACTGAAAGATTAATGTTCAAGAAAATGACAGTTAATGAATCTTAGGGGAAGAGTATCCACAAACACTTTCTTTTTTCATTTTATTTTATAAAGTCATCCTCTGGATAACATTTAATACTGTGTTAAATGTTTCTATCTTGACCATTATTCACGGCATTTTATTGCAAATTCACTTCTACCTCCATCGCTATTAATCTCACGTTCGTATAAACTTTTATTATTTGCGACGATCGACACAATCTCTTCTCGAGGATTCAGCATTTTTGTTCATAGGTTATCTTGTGTATCGAACCTCATCGGTAACCTACGTGGAATAGAATGATTTAATTTTTATAATCTTTTAAAGTGTGATACTTTTTCAAACAATTTCCAACGTTCTATAACAAATTTGTATTGTCATCTCCCATATGACATACGAGTGCAAAGGGTTAATATTTTGTCTTATATAGTTTATATGTTTTATATGTATTATATATTCTGATTTCAGGGGTTAAATGATGAGATTATTTATTCGAACGCGACATAGTCGTTCGGATGAAAATGAGTGCTATTTGTTCAAGGTCTTTGAAATAAGGAGCGACACAGTAAATGCAACGCCCAGCAAGTACCACGTGTCGGTGACTCTCGTTCCGATTGTTGCGATTTTCTATTTGCAGTCGAATCGACGTATGCCTCTATTTCGCAATCGGTTGGTATTTCGTCGCGACGTGGCGTGAATCCCGCTTTCATCTCAGAGTAGCGCACAGGTGTAAACGCCTATCATCGCTATATTTACGTCCCGGCTATCGGCGTCACACTGTTCTGACCCCCAATGGATGAAATCATTCAACATAATTTGTTTGTTATTTATTTTCTTTGAAAATTTACTTCTCCGAAAAATTGGAGTTACGATTAACGAGTGTTTGAAATTACACTTCGATCTTCAAACGTTACATTAATGTAGAGGTACCAGTGATTAAAAATGTAGAATTTATAAAGTAGATTGATAAATCAAAATTTATATGATTTTCAGTAGAATTCTGTCACTTCATAAATTTTCTCGTGTTCCAAAGCTAATACTTTTGGAGACTGTTTCTAAAATTATGTATTATTCATTTTGTAAATATTAAATATTATTTTTACTTATTTTATTTACTTTTTATTTACTTACTATTCATTTTTTATTATTTATCATTAACTATTCGTTGTTTGCATTGCGTTGGAACGTAGGTTTATCATCGTTAGTCAAATTTTATTGTGGACAAGTAGTTTTCATATATGTAAATAAATAAATGAATATCGAGAAGTGATCCAAACGAGCATTAAATTTTTAATTAAAAAAGTTTGTACGTTGAAATAATTCCTTCATTTTTTAACACTTTAATTTACGAACAAGTTTTTAATTTCATTCGAGATGATTTCCATAATATTTGAGAATATGAAAAACAAAAACCTATTCTCTCCGTTTTCGGTGATCATTATATCAATTAAAATTATATTTGTCTAAGAGTTACCGTACAATATTGCTTTGTGTTTAAATGAATCAAATATTCCACTTTGACAACATTTTCCAACTGAATAAATAAGAAACAAATCATTCTACTCAAGCGATGAATTTTTATATAAATTTCGATGCGAATCTCAATTTTATGAACGAACGTAAACAAAACGCTGGTAAATAAACAATACCAGCGTGACTTCACAAATCACTATCTTATAATTAATCCATAACATACCCATTAAAGTGTTACAAAAAATTCTATTCTGCATAATATAGAATACAATTCCACAGGACATAAAATACAACTCTATACAACCATACCAAAAGCATACCTTTTACGATCCCCTCAACGATCATCAGCTATCAGACCGATATTTCATTTACGTTATGACCTCGAGTCACCCTAGTGACATTCGTGTTTGGTTCAAAATTGCGAGCGTGAGTGAGACTGATCAAAGTACTCTAATGAAACAACTTGATGTCTAGCTTGATTTCTAATTTACAGTTTCATAGTTTTGAGTGGTGACATGTAAGCTTATTGACAAACAGCAAATTAGTGATCAAAATACCAGGAGTTAAAGAATAAAATCAATAGAGAATCGACTGACAAAGAATAGAAACTGATCAGCCGAATTCCTCAGCCTAGCCATCAAGCGATCTAGTAGTCCAAGGGGTTAAGAAAGAGTCCATCCGGTCGAACTACATTGCCCCAACCCTGCCCGGCAGCGGCCGGCACACATCGTTCACAAGGCCGGCGAACCGGAAGACGCACTGATCGAAAGCTTGCGGTCGGGTAGCTGGCACGCGAGTCCTGTACGAGCCCACACTCGGTTTAATCTCGGCCCGGGCCGGCGCGGCGGGAATCGCACGGCTCTATTTTAAATGGATCACGTACCAGGCTGAAGAAAGCGGCGCGGACACGGCCGAGCATCCTGGCGCGCTATCCAGCTAGAACCCGTCAGTGAGAGGGCATCCCGGTTCCCGGCGGTCCTCGAGCGTTTTCGACAGATTGGATGATCTCTTCGTGATTCGTGTACACGCAGTGCGCCGTTCGAACTGTAAGACTGAAGACGTAGCCGGCAGAAGAACGCTTATATACAGGGTGGGGGTCGGCAACCAGACCAACCGACCAACTTGGTGCCCATCCTCCTTGGTGTCCTCTCTTTTCCCCATTCTTCTACGTTTCGACTCTTCAGGGATAATTCTTGCGTGTTCTCTCCCCACCTGGCATCATCCTCATTTACCTCTCTCTCTCGTTCGTCTCTTTCCTCGTTGATCCTTCGGCGTGTTCGGTGTCGTGATCCTTGCCTGCCTGAAGAGGACCCTTCTGTAACGAACAAACGGGCAGATCGATCCCTATCGCGGATCACTCCCGCGCGATCATTCCGATTCCGTTGGAAAGTGAGAAGCAAGGATCGGACAGTGGTTGGCTGGATGATTTCGAGTTGCGTTTCCTTGCCTTCTTCGGTGTCATCGTTTTTAGCGAGTGTTGATGATCGCCTTTCGCTAGAACGATGATAGAGAACGAAGAGCTCTGTGGAAGAAGTATTTTCTGTAGTACAGGCGTCGTCGGTAGACATTTCTGCTCGAGTCATATGGGTTGATCTGTTTTTGGGAGAGATAGTTTTGGATTTGGAACGGATTAGTTGGATTTGTAGAAGCATTGTAGTTTAGTTCGGCGAAGCGTTGGAGAAATTACAGTTGTCGTTTGAGGATGAGGATATTTGTTTAGTGTTGGACTGTTAATCTGATACTTGGAATGTTGTATTATATTTGCGGCGAGGATTTGAAGTTAAATGAATGAAACTGAAATTAAGTACATGGAGAAATTTGTAGAAACATTGTTTAATAGTATTCTCAGTTGAATATAGTTTGTTCTGTATTTTGTTATACATTTTGTACTCTGAATACAGTTAGTAACGGTACCTCGAATTTTGAATGTAATTAAGTGATGACAATCTTGTTCTGCTGTCATTAATCACTATCCGTCATTGCTGCAAATTAACAAGAAAGATGAATTATGTAATGGTTAATGAACATGTCAAAAGTGGTCAAGTACTTGAGTTTTTTGATAACCTGCTCGAGTATCCAAATGTATTTACAAAATATAAATTAAATATTTTCCTAATTAAGAAATTAAAGATAACATCGAACACTCGATTTTACATATTAGCATTCGTAGATCATAGTTTCTTAAGCAAATGATACATTCGTAAAAGAATTTTCAAAGACACATCGTCTTTAACGACTTACACAAACTATGATTTCATTACGGTTTACGCAAAACTCATTTGAGTATGTTTTCATCACGCAAACTTCTCAATTTTACGTTGGTAACATGCATCACTTCGCTGGAATCTCGCATTGTTAATCAAACGCTCATCAATCATAAAAAAAATTGACACCCGGAATCTCTCAAGGATCTGCATCACGAACAAAAAATCTTCAATTCGATCCTTAACTTGACCTTTCATGATTCAGCTGTAGGATTCAACTCGACTTAACGCCCTGCAGGAGAGGATTTTTAAAAGCGTTGAACATTTTTTTCATAGGAAGCTAAATTATCTATCAAATTCTTAAATGATAGGAAAAAAGACTGCTATACCCTGTGTTTAAATTAATTTAAATATTTCAATTAACCACAGAAATCTTGAAAAGTCTCCAGCTATGGATTCTATCCAATGCAGCAACCATCCTCAAAGAGTTTAGCTTACCACTAAATTCTATACCCGATCTTTAGTTATTTAATTAATTAAATTAGTCACAAAAGTATTAGAAAGTTTGCCATTTTCGATTCCACCCTATAGCAACGTTCATTCTCAAAGAGTCAAGTCTACCATAAAGTTCCGAATCTACCCATTAATTGTTTCAATAATTAAACTTTTCACAAAAGTATTAAAAAGTTTTCAACTTTCAATTCTATCCAATGTAGCAATGTCTGTCCTCAAAAAGATAAACCCAACAGCAAATTCTAAATCTAAACGCGTCGATCTCGAGATAGTCCGGCTCGAAAACTCCGTATCCTTGATCCGTTCGATCCATTTGCAGCGTGTCGCTGTTTCATCGACGGCTAAAGGTGTTTCGTAGTCGAGTCGAGATGAGAGTGAATCATCTATATGGTTGAAGTGACTCGAGTACAGTTCACTGTATTCGATTCGTCGATTTCGTGGATACGTAATTGGGGAAGGCCGTGCAGGTCTGCTCGCGGGGAACTTCGACCTTCGAACGAATTAGACCCGAACGGGCAAACAGGAACGCATTCTTCATTGCGGGAAGGTAATCCATGCGGGATACTTTTGCGAGCAGGTGCATCCGTATGTCTCACGGTTTCGCGGCGATTTATCCTGAAAACGGTTACAAGATCGTGAGAAATGCTACGCGCCGAACGGGCCCGCGATGAGACGCGATTGAATGAACAAAGAGTGGACAGCGATCAGTCCGGTCTGTTACTCATGGATTAAACGATTGAGATATTGCCGAGTGAAACCTTCGAACTCGACGAATTCCCAATCCAATTAACAAGTAACGTATAAGCTAAAGTAAATAAAAAGCAATCGTGCTTGTAAGACAAATTGAAGTTAGCCATGATAAAACGATACGGATGAGTAAATCTTCCATTTGCAGCAACTGTGAGTTAAGGTAAACATTAATTGAGACTTCTATTTGTTCTTAACGATGTGCTGGGCCTTTATAAACGCATTGCGGTTAAGTATGCAAAGTTTCTGTTTTATATGTTTTATACTAATTTATAAATTTAGCAAAAATGTAACATAGATTATATAATGATAAGTAATATAATATAATATAATAAATATAATATAATATAATATGATGTATGTGAAATCTAGAGTGTTTTTCGTAGGTTACAGGATGCTGCAAGTATTAAACCCACAGTCTACACATGATGATTTACAGTTAAGATTAGTATGTTCGGATAAATTACGTTTTTTACTTCATTACCTTCATGTATTTCGTTTTTGGAAAACAATGTACTTGCACTGTGTTTTCAAAGCGTCATTCAATTATATGATAATGGCACCGGTCATTTTTCGTTTCTCGCTCTTTCCGTTTATTCGAGGAGGTAACACCAATGGCACCAAAAATGGCACCGAATGGCCGCTTTGATCGTAGCACGCGATACATTTGCGAAGATAAAGAACCGTTTTAGGACCTTGGTTAAATGTACAGCGAGGAATTCTCTCTAATCAGGAGTATCGTGTTTCTGTCTTGTTCTGAAATGGAAATGTCGGGAAGACTACTTTAATTGAATGAATTAAACATAAGCGATTTTAATTAAACGCCTTTAAACAATTTCTATAATCTATGTACCTAATACATAGATATGGGTAATCAATTTTATCTCGTACAACAGCTTCTCTTTCGGATACTGTAAGATGATTTTTATAGTACTATTTCAATCGAATCTCATTTACACTTATAATTAATTCCTCTTTCATATAATAAAAATTTTGGTAGACTAAACATGGATATTATTCCAAACTTTATTCATCTATGAAAGCATAAAAATTAGTAGTCATTAACAATAAAGTCAAAGAAAGTTTTCAGAAACTGGTGTCGTCTATTTATTAAACAAATGTAATATTCTTTAATTTATCATTACAATTTGATTATGTTATATTATTACTATGATAGTATTTCCAGTAATGGACGAAGCAGTGCATGAACCATGGATATCAAGAAATCATTTGAAATATCTGATATAGTAAAAATGATAATAGTTAGGGAATGTGAAATCATTAATCAGATCACTGACATGAGAATTTATAGGCTTCCGTGTGCTATTGTGAATAGTTCTCTAATTTTAAGCCCTTTTTGTTCAGACCACTGTCAAAAGAGTACGAGAGATTCTATGAATACCTCAGTATAGGTGAACCTAATTAACAAGTCGAGTGTTGTGCGCAACAAGCGCGGCTGCAAGCTCGTTGATGTAACTGAGAGCGATGTTGTTTGTAGACGGCGCTTGTGTGCTCGCGGCTTACATAACTCAAATTTAAATCGCAAATCTTTACTTTAAAAGTTTCGTCATAATCCGAATCACTTTCCTCGCGAATGCTGGACATTGAAAATGATCGACCGATAAAACGTATTTCATACGAACGTGTTCACTCGAAAAAGTAAGGTTCACCAATTATCGAAAGTACCATTAAAATGAAAGACAATATCAATACAATTCAATTTTCAAACAACTTAGAATTAGCAAATAAGCGAATTATTTAATAACAACCTCACTTTCAATATATGAATCAGTCAACAAACATAAAATGTAGAAGTTGTCAAGCTGATAGACTCAATTTTCTACGGTTTTGACACGTTAAATTAAAATAAAAGTATTACCAAATTTACTTATCCCTTTTTTATTGTTTCTTGCATCTCTAATTTGTATAAACGCGCATTTAGCTGCTGTCTATCAATCTCATTTAATATTCAGGTACAAATTGAATCTTCGTGTAAACGATTCGTAACGATGATGCAATTGATTACTAAACAGCGAATTAAATGGAACAGAGCAAAATAGTTGTCGAAAATTTGCGTGAATAAAATTTCAGCTCACGACAGTGTAACAGGTTCGAAACACACCGGGGGTAACATTCGCGGCACGTTTAAACGGACGGTTTAATATATCGTAGCATCTTACGCGCGTTAAGGTAAACGTTTCATGAATCTACGAGAATTATGCTTCAGTCGCCGAGGCTGTCAAATGTGACGTTAAATGTCCAATATCTTGTTACAAGTGGCGCGCGATTCCATTCGCGTATAAATGTAAGCTTCACGCACGGTTAAGGTAGCGACCAAAGAAAAAAATGGCAGCGATTATGCAGATGCGGATGGTATTTTTACCGGGCCATAATTTCTAAGTTAAAAACCCGCGGGTAAACAGCACATTGGAATGGAAATATTTAATTGTCAATGTATACATCGTTAAACTGTAAGTGTTGCCTTCTCACTTGTAATATAAACTAAAATCAAATAAACTTATAATCAATTATAATTCATTTGTAAAAGAAAATATCATATAAAAATAATTTTACT